CACATGTATACATACAGACGCGTTATGGCGACCGAGGGGTGTATAGGCACTTTCACGCTTCTCCTTTTTTGTCAAACTAGGCATCACGGATCGCGGCCATTATGTGTCATTAGCAGCTTCCTGTTTGCTAGACCCGGCCTTTTTTTTCCTCGGGGACACAGACGAATAAGCGCCGAATTTCTCTCGAGTGGCTACAAATGTGCGACTGTCACGGGGCTGGATCAGAGTATGAATGAATTGCTCGTTTTGTAATGTATATCACGGTTCGCCTCGGTATTACGACGATTGTCATTTGAATAATGAATGCGTCAATGTGACTCTTGAGTTATCAAGAATATTGGGGCGTTTTCGAGCTACGTTGGAGAACGGTTTAAACATACACGCTAAAAATTATAATGGTTACTTTCTCTCAGTCCGCTCGAGCTCTTTTTGATTTATTAAAACATGTAAGCTACTCGACTTGAAGAGCGAGCCACTTTGCAGAAATTTTCACCACGGAGAACATTTGTAATTGTAATAGCATTCGCTTGCGCCGGCATAAAAGAAGTGTAAAGGCCTAAATCACTCGAACAAGCTGAAATCCCGCGCTAAATCACGGGAGTCAGCGCTGTAATCCGCGTGAAATTCAGACCGCCATCGTACAAACTCCGCGCGCGCTCTCGCAGTCCCCATTCCGCTCGCCTGACATCTGTATCATCGCGCATCTGCCGCGAACTGGAACTGGCACCGCTCTGCCCTTTATTTTTTTTCCGTTCGAGGAGTCACTGCCGATTTTATGGACTAACACGAGGCGATTACATGCCTCTTCTTTCGTGTTTTTTCTCTTTCTTTCTTTCTTTCGGTGCTGTCGAGGGAGAGGTGCGTGCCGAGTGATTTGTAAAGCACACGTAAGCACCACGATGCTTGATAATCAATACCCAAAGCAATAATTTTTTTTATACGCAGCTTGCGCGCGAGAATCGACTTTCACCCCCATCGATTTGCCGTGGCGGAGAAATGTAATAATAGCGCTTTAGTCTGAGAGAGAGAGAGAGAGAGAGAGAGAGAGACATAAGGTCAGGAATATCGGCGCGAGTGGCGACGAAGCAATCAAACGCCATTGTCGTCGAAGAGCTGCCTGCCTGCCGTCGCTCACAATGCACTCACCTCAAGAGGGAGATTTCACGTTTAGCTAAGTGCGCTCTCGCGGCAGTTCCATTATTAATGTTAATAAAGACCCGGGCTGCTGCTGCTACTACTCTCCGACGATACTATTATACTCCGTCAACTGACTTTTCTATCGTCTTTTTGTTTTTCATTTCTTCTTCACGTTTGTCCTTTGCCGCGACAAATTTTCACGCAAGAGCGTGAAATTCAAAGAGTATATCGTGGTTGAGCTACTCGTTTTTTAGTATTCTCTTGGATCACAAATAAGCTTTATCGCGGCGAGATGAAACTACCATATTATCTTTCCATTCGATCAAAAGCAAGCTTGAACGATGCAGAATTGGCAGTTATACAAAGATTCGCAATAACTTGCTTTATTGAGCAAAAGCTGACAACAATGTGCCGACAACAAATAAAAGGGCACACGCGACCTACCCGCGTGGCCAAATGTCAAAAAGGCCACTTAAAAAGCAGAAACCTCAAGCTCGCATTACTCTTAACGAACTACATACGTATCGCCTCACTCGAACCAAAAAAAAAAAAAAAAAAGAGAGAGAGAGAGAGAGAACCCCGGAACAATGAGCGCACACGCACGCACTTGTAGATAAACGCCGAACTATTTCACACGCATGAGCGAACAACTTGTTCCAGTTGTTTTTAAAACGCTGCCGTTTCGCGACAATATCAACGTCATTTCTCCCGGCTTGAATCCGCGCGGCTCGTATCGTCGTCTACGAGCACGGCTGCAGGGCAATATTTTTCGGGCGCGACTCGTCGGAGGCAGCTTATAATAATCATTAAAATATCACGCTGCAAAAACGGAAGTGCGAAAGAGGCGCATAATGGCACGCTCGAGATCGCCAATAACTCCTCGTTATTGTTTTCCCATTTTTTTGCTCTCTCTCTCTTTCTCTCTGCACTTCATAATCGGCGAGTGCTGCTCCCTTGCTAGCAATGCAACCCTTTGCATTGTTTCTCGGGGCTCTCGACTCGCGCGCCTCGAGTACGCGTCGTTATTTCTTCTCTCTCTCTCTCTCTCCCGATATACGCGCGCCCATGCCTGCCCGACCGTTTAACTTTTACATTGTCGAGCGCCAAATGAGCGACTCTGTTAAAGAGAACGACGACGACGGTCATTTAGACGCGAGCATTATTTCACGTTTTGTTTGCGATCTCTCTTTTTTTATTTTTCTGGTTTTTTTTAAATACGCTACTCAGTGTACGACTTTGCATGTCGGTGAATTATACAATTTCTTTCAATTTGACTAGCTCAACCCTGCATTATTTAGTCCGTTAGTTCGTTCAAGCTATCGTCGATAGAGCCGAACTCTTAATAAGTTACCCATTACTTCCATTCACGCATATTCAGATCACAGTCGTATGTGCCGTTTTTACTTTTCCTTAAAACTTTTCTATCGGCTTATTCTCTTTTAATACATAAAGCTTCAATTTCAACTACAAATTACTTTGCTTTTATTGTGTTTTTCATCTAGAACCAATTGCACTGTCGATTAAATACCATATCCTGAATTTTTTCACACCAAGTATATTTCATTTGCATTGCTCAAAGATATTTAATCCGGGTTCGAAGGTTAAGGTGAGACAGTCTTAAAGTATGCGTAGACGTGGTACAATTCAATCCGTCAACAGCAAAACAGTATCATCAAGCATTTGTTAAGAAGCTAATTTCAAATTGAAAGTAATGATTGCCAGTGAAATTTATATATTAATAAGCAAATGGCGAAAAAGGAGCTCCCACTCATTCTTTAGAAAGTACTTAAAGGAAAACAACACTCCCTCTTCGTTATCATGCTTTCATCATCTCCCAACTACATATAGCATCGAAAATTCGTCGTCGTCGTCGTCGTCGTCGTCGTCGTCGTCGTCGTCGTCGGTTCCTGGGCAGGGGGGGGCAGCGAAAACTGCGCTTTTCGAGCGTGTGCAGCAGGCAGCGGCTCCGCCATCACGCTCGAGCGAACTCGCGCCGCGGTTGGTGGATGTAACGAGGGCGAGCCCCCCGCTAGTGCGCGCAACCCCGCGTCAAAGGGGGAGGAGGGGATTATTACGACGTGGGGCCGCCGGCGAAAGCTATCTCTCTATCTCTCTCTCTCTCTCTCTCTCTGTAAGCATCCCTGTATGTTATGAACAATCTTTCAAGATTTTTTTTTCCAAAGGCCACTGCAAGGACACACGTCACCGGCGTGCGGTTTCGGAATGCATTTGGTCCAAACAACTGTTCGACCGGCCCACGTATGCAGAATACCTAACGAGTCGGGCAGATAACACTGAATAAACACTGCGGCGGATCGTACGCGAACAATGCCTAGCGGAATAAATGGCTTTCCAATCCGTTTGCGAGCCTACATGCTCGTAGCCGCGAGGAAAATCGGGGCGCGCGCCGCGGCGGCAAAGTTGCGCGCGTCTAGATCGAAATCTCGCTAATGCAAACTCTGGCGAGCGCTCGCATTGCGTTATGAGAGAAGGAGAGAGAGAGAGATAAGCTAGCGACTGGCAAGTAGCCCAGCAAATAACAGGCGTGCAGTAAAGTTGCGCCAGAGCTACGGGGGATTACGCTTCCAGAAAGCATGCCGAGTTTGCCCTACAGTCGTTAAATAGCACGTAAAGAGCCTCGCACAGTCGCCGGAATCTTCTCGAGTGCTCGCTGCATAAATAGGCAGAGTCGTTTTCCACGGTGTTTAACTCTCCCTCCCCGCCTCGTTTTCGCTGCCGCTTTGCATGGCCTCGCGCCGCGAGTTAACGTGTTTGTCCGCGCGCCCTCCTACATCGCGTTATTTCGCGGGCGTTTTGCCTCATCTCTCACTTTTCAACAACCATCAGCCTTTCCAAGCTATCGTTTATACGGCATAAATTTCACTTGCGATTCCAGCGCGAGAATCGTCCAGCGCTTACTGCCAATTTTTTTTCGTCGATACAAGCTTTTCGCGTTGCGAATAGATGGCACTTCGAGTATCTACTTTCAAATTCCTTTCGGGTTTCTATGATATGCTCGCTTATTTAAATTTCATCTTTGACAACGTTCACTGATTATCAATCCGAAACTGAGTAGTTTCCTTTCTCAGCCTTAAAATGTCCTCGACAAATGACATTTGATCGAAGCTATCCGGACGAAAAGCGCGCATCGCCGTACAAACGTGCACGCAGAAGTGAAGTGCCGAAGGAAGAGAAAAGAAAGGAAAAAAAACGAAAGAACGAAAGAAACACGTGTCTGCGTAGCGGCGACAGCATCGCGAGAGAGAAAGAGCAAGAAGGCTTGACAGGCCTCTGCTCCCCCGCGCTAGCAGCAGACAGCCACACAGAGTGCCTCGGAGAGCGTCGGGTCGCGTCTTATCGCGACTTCCTCGCGCCTTCCTCCCCTCCCAAAAGCCAGCGTGACGCGCCACGGGCGCGCTCAGCCAGAAACCGACGATAAGGTTTCCCGTCGCTCGTTCCGCTCCACTCCTGCCGGCTCCTCCTTCCCTTCTGCAGCCACCTATCTCATCTTCTCGTTTGCTCTTTGCCAGTTAGCTGCCGCTCTCTCTCTCTCATATCCCTCCTCCTCCTCCTTCTTTTATCTTGGGCTCGCTTTTTCACTCGCGCCTACATACGTTTCTCTTCCCGGTCTTCCTCCCCCTCCTGCCGGCGAGCTTCCTTTTTACCACCCCGGCTATTTTGCATTTTTTTTTTTTCATTTCGGCCGCCGAGCCAAATAGCCAAGGCGTCGAGTCGTCGAGCTCGGGTACCTCTCTTTCCGTTCAACCGAGGTCGCATCGTTCGCGTAACCGGATTTATTGCCTGTTATTGGGTTTTAAACGGGCCGCCAAAAATCCCGCCTGACAGCCGCTCGTTGCTTTCAGTAGCCGAGCTGGAAGGTGGCGCGCACTCGGACGAGACCAACAGCGGCGGTGACAACAGCAACGCCGGCAGCGTGTCCGGCGGCACGGACGACGACCAGGCACGACTGCGCCTCAAGCGCAAGCTGCAGCGCAATCGCACGAGTTTCAGCAACGAGCAGATCGACGCGCTCGAGAAGGAGTTCGAACGAACTCACTATCCAGATGTGTTCGCTAGGGAACGGCTTGCCGGGAAAATTGGCCTGCCCGAGGCTAGGATACAGGTAATCATTGCGACGATCATTTAGTTGCTATTTACTTTCCTACTCTTATATTTGCCTGCTTTTTGACCCACTCCTACATAGTACCTTATAGCTGCTGATTGGTATGCGAGATATATGCCGCAATTTGTTAGCTCATTGACATTAGATTATACATAGTGCATATTTGTTATACCGAATAGATAATCTTAGCAAACGAAGCCTTGGCAAACACGCGTAATTATGTCGTTGTGCCCAAAGTATTTATTGCTTGATAATCCAAACGTACAAATCAAACAAGCATCAATTAGACTTTTTGCAGTAAGCAATCGTTCGTGTATACGAGAAAGGAGCCTTACGGTAACTGTATGTGACTCGCCTCGATGCATACCTAAATACAGCTGACTTCCAAACCTTCCAAAGAGCGCTTAACGTTCCATTGCTTCCTAGCCACTGCCTTTTCTCTCCATATAATCGGTGTGTAGCATAGTGATTGACCAAGCATTTCGTCTCTCTGTCTCGTCCACAATAAACTCAGGTCTGGTTTTCGAATCGGCGCGCAAAGTGGCGTCGCGAAGAAAAACTACGCACGCAGCGCAGGGACAATCCGCAGCAGCCGCAGCCGCAACAACAGCAACAGCAGCAGCAGCAGCAGCAGCAGCAGCAGCACGGCGTGCCGCTCGGACACCCGACGCCACCGCCGTCTTCGGGTATTCTGGGCGCACAGCCGCCACAAGCGCCTTCGCCGCCGAGGATACACCACGGATTCGCGCCGTCGGTTTACCCGGGCATCCCCAGCATGCCCGACTCGTACAGGTACACCTCGCCAACCCAGTGGCCCCCGCGGAGACGCCAAGCGCTAATCCGCTGTGAACTTTCAGCTCGATGACGTCGATGTCGTCGTTCGCGATGTCCGGCAGCGGCGGCGGCGGCGGCGGCGGCGGCGGGGCCAACAGCAGCAACGGCGCGGACGCAAACGGCCAGCAGCAGCAGCAGCAGCAGCAGCAGCAGCACCAGTCGCACGGCGCCTCGATGTCGCCGATGTCGTCGCTGTCCAGCGGCGGCGGCAACGTCGCGTCCAACCCGAGCCCCTCGGGAATGAGCCCCATGGGCATGAGCGTGGGCATGAGCGTGGGCCCGTCACCAGGACCGGCCTGTCTGCAGCAGCGCGACAACGGTTACTCGTGCGCCGTGGGCGTCGGTCGTGCGACCGGTTACGAACCGCTTCACCTCGGCTACGGCACGCGGCCGTCGTGCAGCCCCACGCAACCCTACCACGCCGCGGCCGCGGCCGCGGCTGCGGCCGGGCTCAACCAATACGGACACCACATGCAGAACCACCACCACCACCACCACCACCCGGCCAGCTCGACCGGTGAGTGTCTGCCGCACTCGCTGCACTCGCTGCTTGCCCTCTAGCCCAAGGACCATCACTACCACCACGTCGGATACTACCGCTACTGATCTCGCCCGCTCGCTCGGCTCCTCCTCTATCGAACGCCACACAAACCGCATCTCTCACCTACCCGAGCTACTGCTACCACCAGATTGATATAAACCTGCGCTACATATATATTACGCGACCGGCGGCCAGCGCAGTCCGCGCGTGCACCTTCTTGTTGATGTATTAGTCGTGAAACAAACACGAACGTGAGCGAACGACCGAGCGGCCACGTACACATTCTTCTCCTACTCTCGCTGCTACTGTCTTTGCCGAACAAACAAATAGCCACCTTGTTTTTGTGTTGCGGATCAGTTATTCAGTCCAAACCAAACCTCAGATATACTCGTCGATCGATATGGATGCCGACGCTGCGCTCTCCCACTGCCTTGGTAATTGGTTCAGCATACACCTCTTCCGTCGCATTATGTTTAACGAGCGCGATCGCCTGCTTACTGTGACCCGTCGCAGCTCTCTGCAACTCTCTACACTCGATGCAACCAGCTATTTTTCTGTAACATGCGTCACAGTAACGCGGCGATGTGCCATATTTTATTATTGTTATTTGTTTTATTTGATAATTGCAACACGCTTTCCATACTTTTCTGCACGCCTGACGCTTTAGCAACGAATAAGATAGATATTCAATTCAAAGAATTACTTTGTTCGCTAATTAAGTACTGTCATGTAACGAGTGCTACCGAAAGGTATTCAAGTTTGAGATCGCTCGTTTAAAAACTTAACCGATCGATGATTGCTCGTCACTTTCTTCACTCGGTCGGAAATCTTGTGGAAACTAACCAAACTGAAATGTTGGATTGCAGGCCTAATATCGCCAGGCGTGAGCGTACCAATCGCAGTGCCAGGACAACCCGGGCCGGACATGGCAGCGCAATACTGGTCCCCGAGGTTGCAGTGACCGTGGTATTCGTCTACATCGATCATTTCGTAAAAATAATCAGACGGTCAGCATCGCCACCGTCACTTTGGTCCAAAGAATTTTATTTTACGGCACTTCTCATTGCAATGTACAGCTCTATGTCTACATGCTTTCTCTCAAAGCACAAAAAACGCAATGGACAATTCCGATTGAGTTTATCGTTCACAATCAGAATTACGATTGCGATGTCAGACGTATTAGATCGCGAACGTACTAGATTTCATGGAATCACGGTGCCTTACGTGTTTCAATGGAATTCAATATATCGAAATTTCGTTTATTTCGATAAAATCGTGCTTCATTCAGTTTCTTTGCCTGCAATAGATTTTGCACAAATCGCTGTAATTATTATTCTTCAATTAGATGGCTTACTTATACGTAAGGTAGGCATTGAACGAAGAAGTATTTTAAGTAAATAATGAATTGAAAGTAAAAAATTAAAGGCGAAAGTTTTCGGCATGTGGTGATTTTTACGATAGAAGTTTGTGAAAAAAAAAAATAATAAAATCCCTTTATCGTTAAGGATCCGTCGATTGAGTATTGTACAGTAAAAATAATTTTGATGAGAGGCGCAAATGCGTCAGCCAATGTGTATGTAACTTAGTGATTTAGTTAGAAAAAATTTGTCGAGAGCCGCAGCGGCACACGTTGGTACAAATTTCAAGGTTTGTCTGTTATCAATATAATTCTATTGTTTGTCGCCGATACTTATTATTTTTCAATGTTTCGATGAGTTCAAATTGAACAGTGAAGAATAAAACTTAGATTATTATATCGCAAGTGTTAAAAAGTGTAAAAAATGCGATCTAATGCTGTATAAATATGGTGAACGTTCGAATGTCATGTATGTATATTATTCAACGGATAGGAAGTTGCATTACTTCTTTTAAACGATTCTGTTCACCATCATTTACTTTGTCATGTTTGTAGTAAAGCAACTTTTCTTTGATTATAATTGCTTGCAATCGTCACATTCGTCACCTCTATCGATTCATTCCCTTATAATAGTTGCGCATAGAGTAATCAAATAAAAAATAATAATAGAAAAAATAGTTTCTAAGTGGACATTGCCAACATAATTTATATTCGTGTAACGAATGGAGTTAAAAACCATGGACGTTTGTTAATGTGCATACCGTAAAGAAGAAAAAAAAATTGGCAGTCATTTATATGGCTAATTCCACTAAAAAATGCATTCATTCGGCTCCATTTTTTTTTCGAATGTTCGAATAGCGCTTCCACCAAATGTTTAGGCTAAACGCTCTTAATTTTCGGATTTTCTTATTTCAAGTAATGTGGCCCACCAAAAATCATTTTATTCTTCGCCGCGCATAGTTGTGATACCCTTTTTACCCAGAGAAGAGTTCTGACATTTTGATGACTTTCATATAGTTTTTAGAATTGAAAAACAAACTTCGAAATCAGCCGTAGTAAGGTATGTATCGAGTCAAATGACATATAGTTACTGTAAGGCTGCTCTTTCCTATACGAACGATTACTTACTGCAAGAAGTCTAATTGATACTTGTTTGCTTTGTACGTTCAGATTATTAATAAATATTTTGGACACAGCAATCAAGGCTTCGTTTTGATAAAATTAATTAATCAGTACATGTCAATTTTGAAGGGTTGAAATGTTCTGTCAAAAATAAACGAAGATACAGTTTTTGACATATTTTTAATTAATATTTAAATTTTTATTGAACTTGAAGAAACCACGAGATATTTATATGATGTATTTTTATCGACGTATAACGATATAAAAGGGGTATCACGAGAATTAGCGATGAGGGGCACACGAAAGTTTTACCAAGACTGTGTATTCAACTAGAAAATCTGGCAAAACCGTGCCAAATTAATGCAATTTTTTGTGTGGAACAGGCCACGGTATAAACACATAAAAAATATATCTATATATAAATATAGTTGATGCTGATCCCTAGCATTCTACTGAGATCGACTTTTAATTTATACCCGGTGCAAGTTTAACGTATATGGATAAAGAGAATAAAATAAAAAAAAAAGAATATGTATAATATGGTGAAAAGACAATTGTGATTTCTTCTTAGGCCAAGTATATGTATATATATATACATATATATATGTATGTGTCTGTGTGTATATATATGTGTGTATATATATAATTTCCGCGTACGATTATACAATCAAAATAAATTAGTGTAATTAACCCGCAATCCAAAGATTCTTTTTTGTCCTTCTGCACCATGCTTATTTAAATGCGTTATCTTATTTGTTGTATTGTAGTGTTATATAAATAAGTGAAGGGGAAACAAAAAACTAAACGCAGTTTATAATTTGAAAATGTAACAATAATATATCCATTTTATTATCGATTTGTATGTACATGTTATTATTTAAGAATACACGGCTATTATAACTTTAAAAGCTTCTTTTGATTTATCATAATCTCTTTGAAAAACGGTTTAGAAAAGGCGGAAAGCCATACCATAATTAAAGTAGAATATTTTAGTACATTTTTGTGTTCCTCAACCCTAATTCCGTTGATAGTTGTATCAAAACTATTTTGACAATTAACTTAAATTCTCCAAACAAAATCAATCTGCATTATACTTAAACTTATGTTTTGTTCTCAAATACTGACTGTAAATTAAATAACAGTTATTGCTCAACATTGACATAATTTCCAGATAAGATATATAGTAAAATAGATATTAGTTTTTCCGTTCGTTTCAAATTGATCATAATATAGTTATCATTAAAGGATAATTTGCAAAGACAAGTCAACAATGAATTAAATAAATAGAATATTTAACGTGGATTGTACACTATTCAAATCAAACAACCTGCTGCAAAATAAGTCAAGTTTCGCGTGAAACAACTCTATAATACACAATGTATCTAAAACCGTACAGTTTCCATTCTGGAAAAAGAAATATAACGAGGTCTAAATGCAAAAATGGCTCAATGAAACCCATCTAAAGTTTAATGGCACAGCGGTTCGGTATCCGCGCAACACCGATCAATTGCACTTGGATGAATCGAGATCACCAGTGAGTAAGGCGTCAATGTCCTTGAGAATGTCATCGGAGACCGGAGACATTACTTCGGTCACTGGGATACGTTCGAGGTCTGGTGAGACGATGAATTCAGTACTGCTATCACAGATCCTCACCTGCACGGCTTTCTTGTTGACAGACCTCGTCAAATCGAGATCTAGCCTAGAAGCTTCTTCTTGATAGTCCGCCTCCTCGGATTCTATCGTTTCTTTGGGCCTCTTCAGCGGTTCTTCGGGCATTTCAGTGACAGCGGTAACTCTGTTCCTCTTTAGTTTCACTGGTGGAACGTTGGTTCGCTGTAATCTTGACCTCTTGACACTTTTCTCTGACTGGTCGTCTTCAAAGAAAATTCTTTTCTTCGTGACCGACTCTTTGCTAGCGAGCTTCAGTTCGTCCTGCGCCTTTATCGCGACCTTTCCCAATCCTGTGTCTTCCTTGCTGTTCTTTGCCGCGTTTCCCTCCGCTTGTTCTTCCTTGGTTTGTCTTCTTCGCTTGCGTATCTCATCGAGAGTCAATATCTTGAAGCCCATCTGGTCTACCGACTTGGGATAAGGACTAGCACAACTGGATGATCGTTGTAACTGGCCACTGGTCGTCCGTCGGACTTTACCACCGCCTTGCGAATCCTCATAGTCAGAATCGTAGGAGTAGAATGCGGCGCTTTCCGCTTGTATCTCTTCCAAACGAATTTCCTCGTAAGTTTTGCACGACGAGATGCGGCTGCACTGATGATTCTTAGCCGGCGACGGTGTACTTTCTGTGTCGGATTCTGTAAGCATACATGAAGAAAGATTTCATGGGTTGATTGGCTTTGCACGTCTCTGGGTATTGTCTTTCTCTCTTGAAACTCTCATCATCATGTATCTATACTATGCAATTTAAATGAGCTTTAACAATCTATTATCCTCTTTTTATTTTACGTTTAGTTTACGACTGACATTGTCTTTCTTTAAACTGGGGTTACCGATAAAATAATCTAAGATTATACTCATCGATCTTGAGGTCTTCACATTATACTTGATTATGAGTTAAATAAACAATTCAACATTATCTTCACTTGGCGGAACTTTCTTCTTTTCAAGATGGAAAATTCGTATAAACGCTACTTTATTTTCGTTATCATTCATACTGCCGAATAAGCAAAAGACGTTTGAAGAAAATTAATGGTAAGAATTAGGAATTGGTGAACATTTCGTTTGACTTATGATTTAATGTTATTTAAGGATCAGTGGTAAAAAAATAAAAAGCAAAGTTCGAAGATTAACATTACGAGGAAGAACAAGACATATTATATTGCACCAAATCGAAATTCCTCGTGAATGCTAATCGCAGCTTTGTCAATAGATGTTTTCGAGGCATCGAGTTTATTGAAATTCAAAAGTTTTCAATCAAGTTTGGCGATTTTCATTAGCTTATACATCGATTCATATAATTATGCGCATTAGCGTATTATTTTACTTTGTTATTTATATCCAATTTTCCAGAATATATATGTATATATATATATGTGTATATATATATATATATATATATATATATATATATATATATATGCATCTCATACATAAAAGATATATCTGTTCATCAAAACTTTCCTATTAGCCATTGTGTTATTTTTCTGAACTCAAAATTTCCAAGTAGAAAATATCAATTTTTTTCACATCAAGAAGAAACTTACCACTGGAAATTCTTTATTTTGAAGTTCAAGTACAAAATTTACTGCAACTTCCAAAAAATTCAAATAGCTAATAAGCAAAGCTCCACAACCTTTTTCTTAACGCAAATATTACGCATAAGAGTTGCTACAAATAATAATATGAATGCAAGCTTTTTTTTAATAGAATAAAGAAAAAGCAGTCGTATAATGGTTTTATTTTTCTTTTTACGACATCCAATCATTAAGTTCTACTTGCAAGCATTCAGTCTTGCAATTACCAAGAACTGCAATAACAAAGGCAAGGATAACTTATTTTTGAACAGATTGGTCAGTTTCTAAATTACATGTATAAATGCGAAATATTCTAAAACAAATGCAAATAGTAGAAATTAAGAAGACACGAAGCAAAACTTGGATTTTTCAGTAATTTAATGATCAGTTTTATTTATTTATTTTTTTTTTAGTTCATTCACTTTGTCATTGAAATTGCATTATTTTAAATGCGATTTGAGAATTAGTCAGACTAATTTACATTTTATTCCATTTGTTCAAAAGTAAAAATCAAAGTGAAAAGAATATGCTTTTCCTTTTATATTATCTTTTCAACTTTGATTTGACTATTAGCAAGCTATATTTTTCAATATTTTCTTTCCTACTTCTTTTTATTGTATTTACAAATTTATTTCCTTAGTTTTTCTGTTTTTTTCGCAATACAGTTAATTTTTTTTATTGCGATTGCCAAGGTTACTATTTTTTTTTCATAAACAGATTCTAAAACAATAAGTGCACCTTTACTTTTATTACCGGTAAAGGAACGATTATATTCCTTTATTTCACTATTCTTAATATTATTATTTACGCCATAATCAGAATTACATTCTCATTTTTTCCATCTTATCTTGATATTGTTTCAATTCGTTTAGAAACCCGTTCCGGAAACTATTACAATTTAATTTATTAATGTGATTGTTGGTTAATCAATTCGATAAAATTCTCGATACATCGACTACAGGCCAAAATTCATATTAGTAATATTTTTATTGCGCTGAACGAAAGAAATTACGTCAAAAATTGTCCTTTTTGTACAAATGGTATTTTAATGTAACGTTATTATGCTCAGTATACTTGTTTTTTCTTCGTCAAGGAAAAACCTATCAGTCTATCGGTAAGCAAAGAATTTCAACGGTCAAAGAAAACTGGAGCTTTTCAATGACGGATACATCACTGATATTTTAAATACATGTATAATTTTATAATCTACTCAATCTTGTCGTGCGTTGTTAAACTTACTTCTTTCCCTTCAGTTTATTCATTTTCCCAATTAATACAAAACATGTGTAAATATACATAATAGTTGTAAATATTCTTTAATATAATTATATACTTAATGGATGATAAATTAATAGTAATAATTCGCGTAATTATTTAATTTGGAGATACATCTAACTTTTTCAACTGTAAGAAACTTTTTGTGATCGTTTAATTTTTCTGTGTTTTATGTATAAATACGTAGATTTCTTTATGCAATCGGTATTCGAGTAATAAATGTCTATTGTTTCTTAATGAATATTTTCGCTTGTAAGTATTTATATTTGTCTATCATTTGTTTTCAGTTTTTGTTTTTTTTTCAAAAAATGATTTGAATTAGTTTCGCATAATGTTTTTTAAGCTACTTTTTGCAACCTACAATATAGTTTTTGGATGAAATACATCTAGTAAAAATTATTCATTTATAAAATTTTTGCTAAATTCTAGACATTAATCTATCTATTTTAACACTTAAAAATTTAATATTATATTTTGAAAAAGAATTAGAACTTTGAAATGCTCATATTTGATAGAATAATTCGAAATAAAACGCTGTGATGTTAGTTTTTTAAGAATACAATGTCACCTTATGTGTTATTACTTTGTTAATGTACTACATGCACTAACATTATGCTACTTAAGATAACAACAGCAAATGTTTATTTTTCGGTTACTTCAAGCAAAATTTATAGAATTATTAATTTTTGTACGTATTCTTCATTTGTAAACTAAAATGAAAATGAAAATTATTTTCTACAGTAGTAATAGATTTACTCCAATTTTTCAACCTTTCAAAAGATTCAATGACATAATTTGTACAAATGGTATCACAAATGTTATATTATAATTCAATGAATCTTACTTTCCAATTTCAAGAAAAACGTTCAACTGATATAATATACTATATATAACGCATTTGAAAGTTACATAGGCCAAATTAGTCGTATGTATGAACCTTGAACTTTATCCATTTCTCGATTTTCTTCAATTATATTGAAATTTTCTTGTAATAATTTATTAACATGCAATCATCTCATTCGTAATTTAGCAATTTTCATACTCAGAGCCAAAACATATGAAGGCAACAATATTTTCTCGCTAGTATATAAATTATGTGAATCAGAAATATTACTTTTATATTTTAAATCATAATTTTTCTCCATAATCAATCAATTTTCATACTATAAAATTTAATGTGAAATAAAAAGCTGTTACTTTTATCTATAAGCAGCCAAGAAAATACTAAAAAAACATAAGTAGAACAAGCGTGTAGAGTGAATTTGAAAATGAAGAAAAATAATGACATGATTTGATTGCTTAAGAATTATGTGTTCGTGTTTACGTACATGTGTGCACAGCAGCCAATACAGTAGAGTGCAAAATCATAATCGTGCAATAATAAAATTTACTAAATTTCAACAAGAAAGCATAATAAATGTGATGTAACATAACAATTAGAAGGACTAGCGGAGTATAAAAACAAACTCGAAAATAAAAAACAAAAAGAAAAAAGAAGACCAACAAAGATTGAAGCATCTTGATAAAAATGAGTGTGATGTGTGCTGTGATTTTAGTTGAGCCATGGTTATATCCTGATGTCATAAAAATATTCTTGTTCCGGTTAATAACCATCTAATATAATTCACAGGCTAATTTCAGCCCTACTGTTCCCTGCAAAATTGTTTTAAGACATTCATTGATATATCAAGTGACTGACAATATAATGCATTACTTCCTCTCCTTTTATTATTTCTAAAACTAAAAAGGAAGCAAAGAGAATTGAAAATTTGGCGACTACTTTCATTGTGTTCATAAAGTTAATGAAAGAAAATTTTGACACTGAAAAAATATCAAAAGAAGAGGTAAGCAAACTATGAATTCAGCAGTTTTGTAAGTTGAGCTTTGACAAACCCATTATCTTGAAAAGCTTATTGAAACAAATGTAAAAAGTGACATTTTATAGAGCAATGTTTTTTTTAATATAATTATTTTTTCTCTACCAGATGTTGATCTCACAAGATTAGATGAGTTTGCTTTAGATAAGTGTTGCTTTTTTTGTTTGTGAGCCTCTACAAAAGGATTTTTCACTTGTTTTTGCACTCATAGCAAACGTAGATTGACAATATTATAAATTGCATATTTGCTTTGCATTTATACACTTGTTTCTTTTGTAGCTGAATAAATGAACAACGAAGAAACTGTATGTTTTAACCAGAATTTTGAGTAAACAAAACCAAATAGGTTATAGTTATATGGGGAACAGGTGTTAAACACAGCTACAAACAATTGAACGTAGATAGAGAGATAGAACGCAGAAGTGAGAAACAATGTTAGCCGCCGAACAAAGATTCTTGCATTTAAGCGCTCATAATGGTCGAGTTGTAGCGAGCCGTCATATGTAAAATTGGAATTAGAACCGTCGGTAGGAGGTGAAGCCGACAAAGGGAAAGGGAAATCTCGACGCAGCCGCCTGTGCCTGCGAGGTCGCCTGGGTCATGCTAGAGAACGTAGGTGGGCGCTGCAATAATGGCGAACTCGGTTGCTGCTGCTGTTGTTGACTCGACTGGTGATGATGATGATGATGATGGTGGTGGTGATGGTGGGGTGGCGGTGGTGGCACGTTGTGCAACAGCGGTGGTGGTGGTCCGGTGGTGAGGCGATGATGACACGGCGAGGTTTGCGAGTGTGTCTGCGTCTGAAGAGGCGGCTGCAGGCTTAGGCTGTTGCTGCTGCAGATGGGAATGGCGTTGGGCTGCTGGGTTTGAGGGGGCGGGGGAGGAAGGTTGAGACTCGTCTGAAGACTAGACGCTAGGGGGAGATGGCTGCTGGGCGCGAGGTAGTGCAAGTTGAAGGACGGCCGCGGGGGCTAGTAAAGCCTCATACCTTCTTCGAAGTTCACGATCAGCGGGTCCACGGCGGGACTGTTGATGAAGTTGCCTGCCTCACTGCTCCCACGTCCTTGTTCAGCTTCAGTACTATTTGCGTCGAACTTTACATCTTTGTAAATCGGAAAAAACATTATTAATCCATTTGCTTCCAATATTAATTATTAAATCATTCAAACTAGCTAACAATATTTTATTAAGTGCAAAAAACAAAAATTTAACTGACTTAAAGAAAAAGCTCATTTTTGACAAATCAAAGCTACTTAGCATTCAAATTTTACCTGGACGATTTGACCATTCTTGAGTAACAGGCTTGGTTGGTATTGGAGCAGTCTTCACAGGTTCTATTGGATTGGGTATGTTGGTCCTAGATTGCCTATGCAGGAAGGGACAGTGTGGCTTCTTGCAACCGGCAGGAAATTTTTCCCAATAACAAGGAATTACTTTTCTATTTTTCTGAAATTGGAAAAACATGTTTGATATTTACCGTATACTGGTAACAATTTTATCATAACAGTCATAATAATTGACTTTATTTCAAATTAATTTAGAATCATTACAGTGATGGCATAGTTTATTTTATAATTTGTATTGTGTATGGAACAAATCTTTGAAAATAAATGTGTTAATAAAATTCTGCCAAACCACAGACTTACTTTTATTTCCATGTGTCGGAAGTTACAATGCTGATTGAGGCAGTTTCCTTGCTGCCAATAAGAGCAAACAGTTTCAGAACCCAAAGCTGATGCTTCATGTCGATATGGACAACTATCACCCTACAAGTTAAACAATTGAATAATTAAAAAACAATATTTTAAATAACAATAAAATTGAATGATAAATGCAAAAATAGAAGTACCCCAAATATATTAATGTGATATAACAATTAATTACACTGTTTGATTTATATCCTATAAAGTTATAAACTATTGTGTCATGTTCAATCAAAGATCTTAAGAATACAAATACAATATGGCCGTTCTAACCTCACAAATTGAAAAATATTAGCCGTAGATTTACATTACTTTCAGCATAAATTCCAATTACACAATTAAAAAAGCGATTTCATCTCTAATAAATGTCAATTACCTTTGTACAAGTTGAATAATAGAAAAAATAACAATCGGTGTTCTTATGGTTCTTCTCCATTTGAAGAAATGTCTTGAACGACGAGTGATCGTGTTCCGTGCTGGAAAAAGAAATTTCATTTATCAAGTATTCTCTTCTATTTGTAACGTAAGATGATTCACTAATTTTATTAGCAATATGAGAGACCGTTAGCAGAGTATAAAAATAATATATAAACAACGGGATAGTGAAAATAAAGCAATACATATGAAAACGTTACCATCTTATTGAAGGAAACATGATGAGCAAAGCTTTTGGAGTATGAAAGTTACGCGTATTATTTGGGAAAGGATAATAACGTATGCTAGGGAGAAGCTAGCTAGCAACTAATCTAAATCTAAATATGGGAAGTGATACCAGCTAAAATCGACTCAAGCCAGCAGCACACTTGAGCGAGTTGTGTTTACGTGCTGAGACAAGGACACCTTTTGCCGTTAAACGTTTGTTGTCAAAGTTGATTTGCTTACCTTAGGCCCCAATGTGTGTGTTCCCTCTTTCTTCGTCTTTCGCACACTTGTGATAATTGCGTACCCTTTTTTTCTTTCCCTCTTTTACGCTCTCTGTGGACACACACGAAGCGACTCGCTACTCTCGCCTGACTTCGCTACTCCTAACTCGCTAGTACTTAAACTATAAGCCGACGAGGAAATGCAAACGCTCAGAAACGCTCGCACACACACGATACATCGATACATGCAGGCCGCATAGTCATGACGTGAAGTTGAACGAAAGAAGAGCGATAAAGTACGTAGTGTTCGTTTGTTGTACACACTGCCCGTCTTGATTCATGGCCCGCGAAGTTCAAAATCCAAACTATTTTTGAGAATCGAATATCGATGGCATCAAATGTATTTTTTCTAGCAAGTTGCGGTGACATAACTCGTCAAAAAAAAAGCCCTTGATCGAACCTCGTTTTGTGTTATTGATTTTCAATCATGAAAAGTAATTCGGATTTTGAACTTCGCGGGTCGCGGATTAATGTCCATTGTCCAGCATATAGGTATAAATAATCCAAACTAAAAAACGAACGGGAAATTGTTGGACTTTGTCACTTCACTATTTTCATATTTTTTACTGTGTACTGCAAAGACTGAAGTTTTTTACTATAATATAATTTAATTTATCTGAACTTTAAATAAAGGCTATACTTGAACTGAATATAAGAAAAAGCTTTTTCGGATGTAAGAATATATTTTATTATTTCACGATATATATATATATGTGTGTGTGTGTGTGTGTGTGTGTGTGTGTGTGTGTGTGTGTGTGTGTGTGTGTGTGTGTATGTGTATATCGTGAAATAATTTAATAAACAAACCCTAAATGAACTTTTTTACGAATATTATGAAAATAATTTTATATCTGTTATTAGCATTTATTAAGTTGATGCAAATATTTAAAAGAAGTTTTTATGTAATACTTACAATTTTGTTAGAAAAATGATAGTGCGCCCTAATATATTTTTGTATCCTTAATAAATTTGCAAAAACATAAAAAATTTATAAACTTAAATAAGAATAATATAATATAATCTTAATGTGATGAATAGCATAATACGATAGACAAAATTACGATTAAAAATGTACTTTTTCTTAAAAATAATCATTGACTGTTAGATATTACTAATTATTTATAAAATTTATTTTAAATAACTGAATTTTTTTTTAAATAAAAGTTTGCTATTGCAACAAAAATAAGTTTCTCTACCATGCTTTTCCATTTAAGAATAAAAATGGCATATTTGTACAAATATAAGTAATGAATTTTGAATAAAATATTTTGTGGCCACACTATTTAAGTTTCCTTATAAATATATATTTTCAATAAAATTGAACTTTACAAATATCGAGCTCTTTTACTGTAAAATGTATATACACAATACGTAAAATTCCAAAACTGTATAATATTAAAAATCTTATTTTAACAATGTACTTAAAAATAAAAAATTTGAAGCAGTTCTACATATTTAACATTGAAGCTTTTCTTGTAAAAGTTTTTCCAATTTACGGATATCAACAGCGAATTTACGAATTCCATCGCTAAGTTTATCTGTTGCCATCTGGTCTTCATTCATGTGCCATCTAAATGTGGCTTCATCAAAGCTTATCTTTTGTACATCTGAGTTTTTAGCTGTTTCTTGATTAAGTATTCGAGGCAGTGGATCGCTACTTTTATCAAGTTCCTCCAAAAGTTTTGGAGAGATAGTTAGAAAATCACAACCAGCGAGAGCTTTGATTTCATCTATAAAATAATGAATAAATTCATGATGTATATTTAAATATAAACGGAAAATAAGTTGTAACTTTTTTACTTTACTTACCAGCATTTCTAAAAGACGCCCCCATTACTACGGTTTTATAACCAAACTTCTTGTAGTAATTGTAAATCTTAGTAACAGATATTACTCCAGGGTCCTCTTTAGCTTCATAGGTTTTCTTATCAGTGTTAGCCACGTACCTAAAAGTCATCAAACAAATATGATTAATCAATTAATTAAAGAAAGAAAAAATATATTTACTATAATCAAGATTTGAATCGTTTGCTGCTACGAAATTTCGCTTACCAATCTAAAATTCTGCCGACGAACGGAGAAATAAGAGTAACTCCAGCTTCAGCGCAAGCAACTGCTTGTGCAAACGAAAAGAGAAGAGTTAAATTACAATGAATTCCATATTTTTCTTCAAGTTCTCTGAAAAACAAAAATTAACGATAAGTCAACCATGAATAAAAAGTACTATTGCTGTAAGTGAAAATAATGGAATAATACTTACTTGGCAGCTTGAATTCCTTCCCAAGTAGATGCCAGTTTGATGAGAATACGCTCTTTGCTAACGCCAGCCTCTTCGAAAATCGAAATAATTTTCCTCGCCCTTGTGATACTAGCTTGCTTATCGAATGACAATCGAGCATCAACTTCGATAGAAACTCGACCAGGAATGATTTTCAAAATCTCTTGACCGAACATAACACAAGTGTAATCGATTGCCGCCTCTGTTTGTCCTTTCAGTGTTCTATTAAAACATTTAGAACATTAAACGCATAACTCACATAAATCTTGAACAATATGTAGGTATAGATAGTGTGACTTACGATGCAGCTTTTTTGCCAAAATGCACGGCTTTGTCTACCAAGTGAGCATATTTCTTTTGACTCGCTGATGCCAAAATTAAGGAAGGATTGGTTGTAGCATCTGTAGGCTTAAACTGCTCCATAGCTGCAAGTACAAATCGCAAATCAATGAAACAACTGACACATCGAGGTTAAATTTTATGACAGGTTTGCTAAATAAAATGAATGTATAGCTGCAATCTTCGCCTGTCATTAAAACATGAACATGTCATCATAATATTGATTATAGTTTTCAAACTAATTAAACGGAGGGCATAAACTTTGTAAAAATAGGCTAAGTATAAGGTCGCGTATCGTAACTTCGAGTTTTTACATTTTTACTCGACTCATCAATTACAAAGTTCAATTGAAAGTTAATAGATAGATAATTGTGTAGTCGAAAAATAACAGTATTAGATTTGAGATCTATATGATATTTTTCAATGCTAAATGTTGAAAGTCTTGTTGTGCTACAATGAGAGTTGTTTCAATAAAAAGGTAGATAAAAAATTCGATTCAAGTATGAGAAATAATAAAAATTAGGATAAAAAGAAAAATAGTTCTGTAGAACCGCAATGTCAAAGGTCGTACGATCGTCACCTCATCGCGTGGTCGTTACAGCATTTGCATACGACGATAGTAGCAGAGATAAAAAATATTATCGTGCGTAATGTTAACGCTACACGTGAAATCAACAAGAAAAATTGAACCGATCTTTCACGAACGAACAATAGCAATGTAAATTTTCAACAGTCAAGTAAATTGGTGTACTTTTGTTGATTACGCGTTTATTACGCGAGGGCGTGAGTGATAAATAATTTTATCGCAATGCCAAACAAAACTTAAATGTTTAAGGCTCCCGATTTATACAATATTCAATCGATTGATTTCATTCGATATATTAAACGCCTCGATATTGTTCACTGACAGCAGCCTAGACGCGACATTAACGTAGTAATAATTAGAATTATACAAAATTAAAAATTATACTGATAAAGATTATAGGAAACAGCATTACGTAATGAAATAGCGCATTCTCCAGTAATGTGTTTGTGTATTTATCCTTTTTGCATTATACATATAAGTTATGATTCATGCATTTTAAACGCGATTATCTCAATTATCAGTAAGTATTTTAGAAAAATAAATTAACTATAATGCTACAGTACTCAGGAAAAAATTTTCTCCGAGTCATTTTCCAATCACTTCAAAATAGATTTGAAAGTCAAATATGAAATGAGCACTCATTGTCAGAGTACGATGTTCGATGTTCAAAAACCAATCGCTCCAAAAACAAATCCGCTACAGTGTGGAAATAAAAGTTGGCGTTTAGCAGTAAAAAGATTTTCACTTAACATGCTGTATCACCTCAAGGTTCACGTTGAAAAAAAATGTCTATGTAATTCAGTCTCCCAAGAGAACACATTTCCCCCTCTTCTACGCTCTTCCATCTACTGTGCATGACCACAATGATTCTGATAAAAAAAAAAGCTGCTTTGTCCTCGTTTGCTTTTATGAAAAACAATCTATCAAAGAGCAATTAGTAAATTCAAAAGAAACAACAATGGTTTACCTTCGAAATCACCGGTGTCGGCGACTACAGTGGTCATCGCCTTGAGCTGGTCCAACGTGCTCGTCATCTTGCTTTTCTTACACTGCGGTTCGCTCATTGTCGTTTGAGAAATTTTTTTGAATGTGGATGATCGCTGGATATACTTGGATCCCTTAAGGAGAGCAAGAACTTAAAGCTGATTATTGTGTACTTGTTGCGAGAGCACGAGCCTAGATCAAACACACTGAATCGCACACACGCGTATAGACCAACTGTGCGCTGTGAGCCACTGCAACTCCTCGCAGGGCGCATAAGAGAGCCTGTGCTAAAACTTGAACTGCTTGAATTTTCCGTGAGCGCGCTTCACCTTGCATCGACCGATAACATCGAAACCTTGCGTCGATAGACTAGGTATCAAGAATGTCAACGTATATATTTTTGATTTACGAATTTTTTTAATCAGAATTTTTATTGTAAATTGGATCTTTTTTTCAATTTATTATTTTATGATGTTGGATTATTATAAATTAAATTAATCTGATGTTTTGACAATACTACATATAAATATGATTTATAATGGAATGATGCCGATTTATAAATACGATAATACAATATAAACGATAAGTGAATTTATTGTACCAGTAATAATATACATAATTCGTTAATAAAAATATATTATATATAACAGATTTCCATATTGTTTATTACTGAAAAAACTGACTTGAAATCGTGAAATGGGTTCGATATTTCAAAAACATATTTTCATATATTTTAATATAAAACTACTACCGTTTTAAAGTTCGCAAAAAACATCTATTCTTACTACAATACCCATTATCAATAGAAATATGAAACGAAAATCCAATACAAATATATTTATGAGATGTATCTATTATAGCTAAACATAAATACAAGATATTATATACGGTCATATTGATAAATGTCAATACTACGAGACAACTACGAAATTAGCGGATGAAATAACTAAGAAGGAAAGAAAAGTTGGGTTAATTAAACATTTCATATTTGGCTGTATATTAAAAAAACATTTATAAATTTAAAAATAATTTATTCAAAGTATTTGATTCCAAATCTTGCAAGGTAACAAACGAAAAAAACAATAAATCCCATATTCGACTTTGATCTGTTGTTACTTATTCCTAAAAATATGTATCGATTAATATTAATTAATCTGTTCTAAAATATACATTTGAAAGATTAATTTAAAAAACAGCCGACTTCAAATTTATTTTGCGCAATTACTCGCAAAATTTTACTTAATCAAGTTAATAATGAAATGGGACTATTTTGCTATAGTATCTTCTTTACAATGAGTTCACCCCCGTTGAAATAGATTAAACCATGTTCAAAGATATGACAAACATACATTAAAGGAAAACTAAAGAACTATCATTATTTCTTTATTTACTCGAACAATGCTGATAAATTTATGAATATGTACTAGTGATGGGAGTGCAATGATCAAACTGATAGCTGATTGCTATTGTTGCACTTCTTCCGTGAACCTACAATTTCCTAATTGCTAATACGATTGATAACAATCTCTTTATCATTTTATTTGTTATTTAGTGTTTTTTATACTTTTAATAGAATTATCACGTAATTGCGGAGTGACTCATCGTTTGGATGAATTGAAAATTATTATAATAATAATTTAATTATAAAGCATAAAAAAGAACTATGTACTACACAAATAAAAATCACTATAATACGAAAATAATAGTATTAGTATATGCGTGATAACCAAACAAATAGTTTATTATTATTAAATTTTATAATTTCAAATAAATTTGTTTAACTGCAAAAAAAGTGCCAAATTTTAAAGTACCTAAAGAGAAATTGAAAAAAGAAGGATGTTTAGAATAAATATTAAAACATGGTGACTATTTGTCCATAATATAATAAAATATATTCAAATGCAGCCTACATCAGTAGTCAGTTTCATACAGGACATAGGAGGAAGCCAATAGCTCATTAATTTTTAACAAATTTTTTCACCTTAATAGTATTGCTAATTGATTAATAAAATATTAATTATGAATAATTTGAAAACCAATTATTCATTTATGTCAACGGAAACAGATTACTCTACAAATTTTGATTAATCATTCAATTTTGTATATTCCACTTTATGATTGGTAAAATGTTGTTTATTATCTAATTAAAAAAATAGCAAAATATATTCTATTTGCAGTTTTGAAAACTCATTTGTGACTACAGCTCTTCTGTTTGTTATTTTATTTGTTTTATTCGTACTATTAAGTATGGTTCTTTAATTTCTTGAGTCTTTAGCCTTTCCATTATCACTTGTAAATGTCATAAATACTACAAGATACTGAAAAATCCCTGGTTTCATTATGTCTATCTAAATGCTTATACTTGTTCAATAAGTAGGAAGGTTTTAATTACCATGTAAACTTCATGAAACATTTTTAGAAAAAGTTGTTTTATTAAAACAAATAAGTTTTTAATATATTTAAGTACACCTATACTTACATTTTACCTGCATAACAAACTTCTTGTATGTACAAGATCTATCTCAGATTAAGTATTACAAAAATATCTATAGTCCTTTGAGTACAATATACATTTTTTTATAAATCCTAGTCTAAAAATCATGATTCTGACCGCGATTTTTCATAATACTATTTACTATTGAATGTACAAACTATGCAGTGTATAGTTATACTCAAATAATCTTGTGTTAACAATATATTTAGAGCTAGATAAAAATTTATAATAGGAAATATTTTACATTTATAAATAAATAAACAACTAGTATACACTGTGCTACTTGTATAAAAACAGTAGGAAAAATTTAGTTGATTCATACCATTTCTGAGCGTGAGTGTTTATCACTTTTGGGTGGGGTTTTAGGTTGATGGCTGTACATGAAAATAGAACATATTACTAATGCAGCACCCATTGTGAATTGAAATGTCAAATGAAAATCAAATAAGTATATTGATGCCACACATGAAATAACTATTGCTAGAGAAGTTGCAAAGCCTTTCAAAATATTATCTGCATGTTTGACAACCATTGCAACGATTAGTCCTCCACATGCTTGCAGCAACACAAGGTAGATGACAAATCCATCATATCCAAAGAAAAATCCATGATTCCATATAAATTCACTATCATTCAAATAACAAGTAATATAACCAATAGGCAAAGATAAGAGACTTAGTTGAACATTCCGCATCCATATAGATATATCAGATCCTTTAAGAATTTTTTCAAAATAAATTCCAGCAAATCCTGATAGGAAGCAAGCAGTCAAAGCAGCCGTAAAGCCTAGTATTCGACTTTGATCTGCTCCAGATGGTACTACTTTTGGAGTACCTTGAGCCAATTGCACTAATATTACTCCAGCAAGTAATATAACTAAAGCTCCCCATTGTATTTTAAGTAATGATTTTTTCAAAATAACTACAGCAAAAAAGGCTGTTGTTAATATTTTCAATTGATATGTTACCTATACAACAAAATAAGTATATTATTAGAATAAATAAATCAAATTACTACATCACTTTTAATAATCTATTTCAGAAACAGTTATTTATGGATGATAAAGACATATTTTACCTGATATGTTGCAGCATCTAAGTTAGAAGCAGATACATATAGTAAGTTATTTTGAATAATGTATACTAAAGATGGTACACATACTTTAAATGTATCTTTGGGTTGCTTAATAATTATTTGATTAAGAGTATTTAGAAATTTGTTAAAGCTACCTTCCTCAAATAATACCAAAACTAAACATGTTACTAACTTAGCAACTTCTGCCATCAAGACCGCTGCAATAACAGGTATATATAATGAATATATGGCTATCAATATTAATATTATAAGCTTTATAATAAATCATGATAAAAATAATATACCTGTAGAAGACAGAAACATATCTCCTGATCTTGTGCGAGCATACCGCATACTGAGTCCTACCAAAGCATTTTGTAATGTAAGGATAACCAAACTGGAATATTTGAGTAAGCTAACATTTTCTGAAAAAATTTAATAGATATGTAATTTAAACCATTTATAACATAAGATAAATAAGATAAGGCAATTTCTACTAGTACTTACTTGATTTATTCATTGTTGACAAAATTAAATATTTTTCATAAATATTTATAAATGAATGAAATTCACTTATATTCTACACTTTGAAACCAGTGAGCACTGTTTCCTAATCTCTATTTATATTGTACATTACAGCTTGTAATTTAAAATTCTTGTATATTACAAAATATCTTCAGAAAATTTGTCCAGCTCCTCGCGTTATTAGTATAGCCGTAAAATTTAACATTTAGGAATGACGCGGTTAGTTCGTTTACTAGCTGCACATTATATTTGTTCAAGTGTAGAGTATTTCAAAAGGCAAAAAAGCCATTAGTTATCCTTTTACAAATGCTAATGAGTAATTCGTACATCCACGTGTCGCCTTTCTCTTTTAAAAGCGGCAGTGACATGAATAAGCCAGTGAGATAAACACAAAAGAAAGAGAAGTACAGAAAATCTTGAACATCCTTCGCTTCTCAAGTCATTGCATTACTTAGTTTTGTCAGTTTTCAATAATATTCAAAAAGTATGCATAATGTATGAGAGTTACTGTGATTTATTTGGAAAATTTCGCCGTCGGCTTTTGTACGCCTGAATTTGACTGACAACAGCGCAGTACCTTGTACAGCACTAACAACACAGCGCTTACTTGCTAGGAATATTTTTACTTTAGAATTCTAGGGATAATATACATATTTGGTTAGTTTAGAGGGCGCAACCAGGCTGACCAATTCCGAGAAAGATGGGGAGAGAATAATATAGACGTTCTGTAATCCGCTTATGCTTCGATCGTATTCTTTTTATTAATAAGCGAATTACAACCTAGTACCGAGTACCGAAAGCCAGTTGGTACTTAAGCTAAGTTTGACACAAATAAGGAAGGTCCTTGCTTAAGGAAGCGATGGTCGAAATGAAGCGGCGATTTGCCAACTCAACGGTCGGCTCGATTTCTGCCGAGATTTCGTGGTTTATATCTTTTTATATCAGCCACTGGCGATGACGCCCCTCCGTTGTATAGGCTTAGGAAGCTTTGGGAGATGATGGAAATCTGATCTTAGTTCTCATCACTAAGCTCGTTTCCGAGTCCAGTTTAAATTGCAGGTTTTATTTGCATTTGCGTTTATTCGCCACAGTGGCAGCACCTGTTGGGCCTCAACCCCTTGCATCCTGTAATTATTCGTCATTCAAAATATTCAAATGCAGTTTATTTCCTTGAGTAATATATTTTTCAGGCATTTTATAAAGAAAAACTTCGACGGCCAAATAACGCCACAGTTTGTATTAATTGCAATATTTTCTGTACTCATCAGAGCATCAAAGCAATAAATTTTTATCTTATCTACGTGAATTATTTGGAGTTTATAATTATCATTATTTTTAATTTTACAGTTCTTTATAAAATTGCAATCTTATCAATCACACTTTCATCAAACTACACACTATCAGTGTTTATTATTAATTATCAAACTAATAAAAAACAAAACTAAAATAAGAAAAATTTTATTCAATAATTGACATTCTTTCGATGAATTCGAGTATTATAAATTCTGATTATTAATTATATTATCATTCTGCATACATACTAAATTTTAAATTGAATAATCCTTCGATGTCAATCGGTGAATGTTACCGAAATATAAATTTGCTGGACATAACTTGCATGCTATACGATTACGCAAAAACTGACTTAATTTAAAATGCTTAAATCTAAGTTTTTTTCATGAATTCTTTAGTAATTATTTTCACGATATTCAACGCTTACGTTAAAACAATTCAGTTATCTGAAAAATTCTCCGCGTGGGATTTTAACACACATGCATGCACTCGATTATATATCGCATATATGTATATACACATTATTGCATATAACTACAAATCAATGATGCTATAGTTTCTAAACACGCCGCTTCTAAAGTAAAGAGCGCATACATCGACTTTCATTCCCCATCGTTATCGTCAACGGTTGTGTCAATTGAGTGTGTCCTTGGAATTTGTCATTTGTTTAAATCGTAGAAAATTAATTGTGTTCTATAAATATTTTGACACCGATTTTCGATTGACAAAATGCCAAAAGTAAGAAGGAGCAAGAAGCCACCACCAGATGGGTGGGAGTTGATCGAGCCAACGCTTGAAGAATTGGAGCAAAAGATGCGTGAAGGTTAGTATCGCAATATTTATTTACATCTCTTCAAGCACGAAAGTGTAATAACAGAATATTGTAATTAGTAATAGTTTGATTAGTTTATTATTATAAAAAATAAATTATTAAAATATTTATATAGTGATTGTGATTATTTACAGCTGAGACCGAGCCTCATGAAGGTAAACGAAAACAGGAATCATTGTGGCCCATCTTTAAAGTACACCATCAAAAAAGCCGCTACATATACGATCTCTTCTACAGACGAAAAGCAATCAGCAAAGGTAAATAATTAACATTCTGATTATTTGAATATTTCATTAACGTATATTTTTTCTTTTTAGAACTCTATAATTATTGTCTTGATAATAACATAGCAGACCGTAACTTAATTGCAAAGTGGAAAAAAACTGGATATGAGAACTTATGCTGTTTACGATGCATCCAAACTCGTGACACCAATTTTGGAACAAATTGTATTTGCAGAGTACCTAAAGGTAAATTAGAAGAGGGAAGAGTCGTTGAATGCATCCACTGTGGATGCAGAGGCTGTTCAGGCTGAATAGTATACAAAATTACACTTATTATTTTTAAAACAATACATTGGGCATGTGTACATATATTTAAGATGTAATAAATTTCTTATTTTTCTCAATTAATTACATTATTTTCATTATTTTAATCCAATCCAATGCAGTATACAGAGAATCACATTAATTTTATTAAATTTTTATTCGTTATCTTTTATAAAATGAAGTTAATATTTTCTTAATTTTCATTTCATAGTTTCAATATTCACAAAATGTTAAGTTGTTTCATTTATTGAGAGATTTCATTAAAATCTGAAACATTACATATAATTAATCCGATTGAATTAATAAAATATTAAATTTTTCTAGTGTTATTATAATAGTTCAAGAAGATGTCTGGAAAAAAGATAAACAAATCTTAATAATATTGTAACAGTCATCTTGCGATTATCTCGAATTGAGTATTCTAATGTAAGGTGCATATCAATTTGTGTATCTGTATAAGTTGTTGAATGAAATCTATCTCCTTTTAGAAGGAATATGGTATAGAGTAAATATTTGTCATTACACTTGAAGTCTTACATTTTGTTATGTGTTAATTTTGCCAATAAATACTGATGATCTTATAATTATTATAAACAAAGACATACTAAATAATATAAGGTGAATAACACAGATTCTGAATTATCAAATTATATCAAAAAGTTTAATGATTGAATTACCCCTTAAATAATTATTGGAAAAATACAATAATTATTTATACAATAAACATACGTTTAAATGAAAGCTTAACCTTTGTAAGTCCATAGAAAGTTGATTTAAAACAAAATGAATGATTAGTTTTCAATTTATCACAAATTATCAAAACCATGAAATTATAAAAATGGATATAATTTGCTATTTTGCTATTAAATTAATGGTTTTTTGACATTGTTAGCTAGAACTTATACGATTTTATGAAGTAAAGAAAATCAAAAGTATAACAGAGGATTCTCGTTATAAAATTAATATAACATTGTAGCTTCTATAAATAATTGTATACATTTTTAAAAATAACTTTCTTTACACTTTCTTTACAAACACATAATATATATTGTAGATCTTTATAAAATAAATAATTTTTCAATTGTCATGTAAATAACTTATAATATCGCAATTTCAAATTTGCGTAATTGGTGAAAAGAGGGTGAAACAAGATTTCAAGTATAAATTTGCCTTCAAAATATTTATAAATTCACTGTGCCGACTGCAGAGTTACCTTTTCGCCAACCTCTGCAGCGCGGCTAGGTACCGAAATGCGTATAATAAACTTAGCTTAATTCCTGAGGTATTTCTTTTGTTAAAGTGATCTATGCTATGCTAATTCCTCTCTTTACAGAATCTCAGTATCCCGACTCTTAAGGTTCCAGTCCCTGCTAAGCAAAAAGTAGATTGAAGACTTTTATCTCTTTCTCTTTTTTATAGGAAGATATGCCACGAAGCTGTCAAGCTTACGTCCTTGGTTGTATTGGCTATCAAATTATTTTGAACTTTAATTTTTTTTCTTGTAAAGTAACTTACTTCGACAGTTATTTATTTTTCGACTTATGATTAACTGATTCAACTTCTTGATTGAACCAATTATTTAGACTGCAATCGGGTCTTAAGAATCAATTAATAATAAATTTGATATAAAATAGATCTGAATTTGTTACACTATTGATTACGGGCTTTCTATGCAAAAAGACATTTAGCGTGGCATAACGGATATCAGTTGTGTACTGACATTATCAAGATAAAAAACTAATTGTTTATTTAACATATGCCTGTGTCCGCAATTACGTAGATGCGAACAATGATAAAAAATACAGATCTATATTAACATTATTAGTACACTATAATATATCATTTTATTATCTTTTTTTATCATAATGTACCGTCGGACATGTACATGTGTGATGCCTGATGTCTAACTCCAATGTCTCCTTATGTAGAAAGCTTCTTTATCGTTGATTGCACCAAACTGCTACAAATTATACAACTGAAATGAAATGAAGACATAAATGTTTTTATATCAATTATTTATTTTCCATACAAATTATAAACATGTTTTTCAAATACTGTACATATACTGAGTTCTATTATATTTTTAAACCTCTAATTTTATGATATATCATTTCATTTATTTCCATTTACTCGATAAAATCAACTACTTTGATCCTCGTTTCGTTTCATGAATGATGAATACGTAATATACAAGTAAAATTTTCGTTCTTTTTTCTATCCCTTATTCTCTTTTCAAAATAAGCTCAATAATTTGATATGGCAGTTCCAGGATATGAATTGAAGGTAAGTATGAAGAAAATATAATGATAGATCGTTTAATATTGTTTTTAAACGAGATTAGGATCGCAGAAGTCACTTCATCTCTTACGAACTCATTTTCTTACAAACACTGTCATCTTTAAATTATAACGCTCGCAGTTTTTAGATTCTTAAGTTAAAAAATAGCAAAAGTATAACTATATTTTTCAACCAAAAAAAAAATGACTGCTGCAACTTTTCGACATGATTCTTCCAAAAATTTTACTGTAAACATTTTAGTATATACATTGTTTATCAACGAATTAAAATGTGCTGTAGATTGTTCAATATGGTATTCATTTTATGCAATTGAAATACTATTTCTGTTTTAAACTACCGCCGCTGATGCTCACATTTCTTGTAAGTTCTTTTAATTAAGACTTTTTTTCGATATTATCAATATAGAAGTGAGAGAGTACTATTTTCTATCTTCACAGAAGACATAGATAAATATATTTTTTCATAATCTTTTCTTATAATTGTAATTTACTTAGTTTAAAATTATTATTCTCTAATGTTAATAATATTAGCGTCGGTGCTTAATTCATCGAATTCATGTCCGGTCTGTCTCTTATTGTGTATACTTTCGTATGGCGAAATACACGTAAGTCAAGTGAAATTTGTTTAAATTTATAAGACATTGCATAATACAAAAAACAATATTTTATTTATCATTACAACATTATCCATGAAAAAATTACACAACTCGACTTTTAGCCAAGAGATGCTAAAATTTCAGATTAGATTTTGGCATCAACGGACCTTAAGTAACTTTAAAAAAGAGATCATTGATTAGCGTTGCGGACAGTGCGCATGCATAGAGTGTAAAAACTAATGGCCGTCATTGAATAATTGTTTATAAATTGACCGACCAATCGCTAATAACTCTAATATGCAAATTTAATTAAACTTGTAAATTTTGTATGGCTTCTGAATTTGATCAATAGTTCAAATCGATATTTTTATTCAGCACCCCGCGTTAAATCAAACTATAAAAATAAAACAATAACTAAAAAAATACAGAAGCTGCCAATTCCATTCCTTTTTCTAAGCGATTTAAATTTTCACAATATAATGGACGTATAAATTTACCAATTGCGTATATCCAATATTAAATCACTCAGCATAATTTGAATCTCACCCTGAATTAAAACAAAAACAAACATATTTCTGACTAAAAGAGAGAGATCAAGATACATTGCCACATGTTTCGTAAACGTTAATTAAAGTAACAATATAGTAATTAAATTAAAGTTACCTTATAGTAAAGTTATTTTCTTGCTTGCTTATGTTATTATTTAATGCTTGGTAGGCAAGTTCTGTCGCGAAAGAAGATGCTAAATCCGAGATACTGAAAAACGCTAAACGAAGTTCCTTTAGACCGTTGTACAAGAATCAAAATATAATATTGATTTCTTAAAAAGAGGATGGTCAAAGCAGCGCTTAAAAAAGATTTGTGATCATATTCTTTTTGTTTAAGTACAAAACAAAAATGAAATCTGAAATCTTTATCTAGGATTTTCTCATACGTTATTATTACAAACGTAAAATATTTAAATGAAGGCGAAAGAGTTTCAGCACGATTGAATATTGTCTCTTATATAAACATAAAAATAAAAACAAACTGTAGTCTAAGTAAGAAAATCATCGACTTGTAAGAACTATAGAAAAAAAGGGAGCCTTAAGAAATATAAAGGTGATTATAAGAAATACAAACAAATCTTCCTAAAACTACGCATCGATGCCTAAAAAAGTGGGTGGGATCGCACGAAAATGTGTAGCATAGGTAAAAGATGTTTTAAAAAAAAATCATTGTAAACGTGGAAAAAAAACAGGTAGCTTTGCAACGTAAGCCTTTAGATAGATCGAAGTGCGTTTAAAATTGAAAGGACATAAGCACGCTCTTCTTCGCTTAATCTCTTTTACAAAATGATTAATTGTATGTATAAAGTATAGATATCTCGTATTCTTTTTACGCTGACATTGATTAATTAAAAATATAAAGACAGAACAGAGAGAATATTAAAAAAGAAATTTATCTGTTATTAGATATTCGCAAATGGCATCTCTTTAGCGTTTCCCTCGTTTCGTATGTAAACTTAAAAGATCACTTATATAGCTTTATACACGATCATTTGTAACAATGTGAATCGTAATCATTGCATTAATATTTAACATATACATATACTCTTATACGTAATATATGTATACTTAAGTGTTTGTGTGCTGTTTATTTTTTTTTGTATTTGAAAATGAAATAATAATACTAAAGTCATGTTCACGCCAAGCCGTTTTCCGAGATGTAAATATATTATCTTTTTTTTCTCTTCTTTACATTGAAAAATTGGTCTCTGTACCATGTTCCTTACTCCTTACATACAATAAAAACTGAAAGCACGCAAATTTTCTCTTATTGTCGAGGACTTTGAAATTTACCTAAAATCATTTGTTGCACAGGTATGCAGGTTTGGCCCGATGATGCACATCAGAGCACAAATTGCACAATACGCAATTTAAGAAAAACAATTGTCTTTGTTTGTGCGACAAGCTCTTTTTCTCGTGTTTTTTTTTTTTTTTTTTTTTTTTGCATCGAATATCAACGATTAAATCTCGGAATGGCGGATTGGCCGGCATACGCAACAACAATGCGTGACAATGATGCACTTGAGTGTAGGTGTGGGCGTAGTTTTGAGTACATTTTTCACGCTTGATTGTAGCTTTGAAAAATTTGGTTTCTCTTGACATTCGCTATACTCTGTCTGTGTGCGAGAGTTGTGTCGCGTGTATGAGTGTGCACTGTGTGGACGCGTATCTAGGCGCGATGTAATTCAATGAGAATGCGTGTGACTCGTGTTAGCGATAGGCACTGATGGGGGTGGATGGCTGCACGGCGAACGAAATCATCGAGCAGGCTAGTCCTTGACCAGTCTGTATATGTGATGCGAAGCACCGTGCTCGGACGTTGAAACTTCGAAGACGTACGCTGTGCAGAGTAACGTTTCTTGTGTGTCTCTATTTGTGACCACCTGCAAAAGAAATTTGGACCGAGCGTTGATTGGCGCGTTGCTGAATCCTTCGCGGCGGAAAATGTCCGAAGAATGGTACCTGAAGAATGGTGAAGTTTTCGAGGACGCTATTCATCATGTATTTTTCCGGCAGGTGTTTCAGCTTGTGGATGAAGTTGATCATGTATTCGCACATTGGCGAACGGTTGATGCGGTACACGAACCTGCCATTCTCGAACCTTGCGTATTCCGTTTCTACCTTCTCGACGACCTGTTTGCCGAACGAGCAGACTTTCGTCGAACACGTTATCGTCATGTTCTCGTTGCTCTCGTACCTGTCGAACAGACCAAGCAGTCGTTAGCGGGCGGAGCGTCGATCGAACGATAACAAGTTTTTCGTTTTTTCGTGATTGCTTTGCCAAGCTCATCGACAAACAATCAGAAAGTGCAACGGAGCTGAGCGTGGGTGTACAACTGAACGATACAACATGACATGAGAGGCGGTGCTTTGAGTTGGGGGGTTCTTCGGGGACAACTTACTGGCTAGTGACACCGTAGAAGGCGCCGGCTTCGTCCTGAATGTTGGTATTGAGATCAGCCCAGAACTTGACGAGGAAGAAGGCCGCCTGGGGGCCCTTCTCGTACAGCTCCTGCAGGCCGCCCTTCTTCTCCGGGAATTTGTCGGTTATTTGCCTGACGTCGATCGCCTCGAGCAGCGGGTCGGTGTAGCTTGCCGAGCCGTTTATACACACAAACAGATGCCTCTGATACTGCAACGTCAATAATCGCTTGACGCGAACCGTTTTACACGCAAACAGCGTCAAGCCTTTCGCTAATCGAGAGCTCGCGCTCGAGTTTCGTCAAGACCGATTGCCATACTCACATTGTCTTGATCTCTCTGCTGTTCCATGAAGGCGGAGAACTCGACGAGCCTGAGCTTGTGCGTGGCAATGGCGCGTCCCTCCCACGGTGGCGGCGGTTGCGTCTGCACCATTTCGCTGCTGGACACGGCCGTCGCCGGCTTGCCGGTGTAGGCCGGCTGCGGGAACGGCTTGACATCCTGCGACGTACCCGGCTGCAGACCCGGCTGCCAGAATTGCTGTTACAAACAAAGCCCACAACGCTCAAACACGGCATTCCGCGATCACTCTGCGCTCGCAAGCTTCTTCCTTTGTATCGAAAAGCCACGCGCATAGACCAGTGTTATGCGGCGCGGATGACGCGTCGAGAAAGCAATGACGACGACGACGACAAAAACAATGACAAAAACAATGACAAAAACAATGACAACAACAACAACAACAACTCGACATGCGTATGCTGCTCGCGACTCTGTACTCTTCGCTCGATTGATCCTGACGCCCCGATCGACTCGGCAGCGGCGCTCTGTCCTCTTGCTGGACAAGCACGGCAAGTCGCCGGAGACTCGCGATCGCATTGCGTATAAGCGCGCAGGTAGCATACGCGCGACGAGGCTGCCGTGAAATATTGTTTGAACAATACACAACAAGGTCACCCCCAGGGGATACGAGCACACACATCGTCCATAAAAAGCCAGTCGCACGCCACAAGAAGCAACGCGGATTAGTCGCTTGCGCGCCAACTTTCAAGTTTCGCCAGTCGCCAGTTTCGAGTCTGGAGGCGAGTCGCAGAGCGAAGACAAAGCTGTGTAAAGCGAGAAAGGAGGAGGAGGAGGAGGAGGAGGAGGAGGAGGAGGAGGAGGAGGAGGAGGAGAAGGAGGAGGAGGAGGGTCATGGACAAAACAAAGCTCCCTCGCTGACACAGCCAAATGGCAGCGGCAGCGGCAGCGAGCGCGCGCAACGGGAAAAAAAGGCGCAAAACGAAAGGCCTCGCGTTTCCGCTCGAGGAGAAAGCATTGTATGCTAATGGAATTGAAAAGCGCGCGCGGGGCCGCGAGGCCAGTTATTAAAAATAGTGCGCGCGCTCTCTGGCGTCTCGGCCTGTGTCAGCGCGGCTCCGCGCGACCGGCCACAGAGGCGGCGGGTCACGCGCAAGCACGCCGAGGCAAGCGACAGAGCTGGCGGCCGAGGGATTAGTCGTCCACGAGAGAAATGCGAGAGCGAGGCCGCGAGCGGGGCTGCGTGTAGAGGACTTACCGCTCCGGGATAGGAGACGGGGGTGGAAGCGTGAAGGGCTAAGGGCCCGACCAAGGCGGGGGGCATCTTGTTGTGTATCGCGCTGCCGGCTGACACTATTTGGGCGCTCGACATGCTCGACATTGTCTGCAACGCCTTCTCCTTTGCCGCATGGTCCTAAACACATTTTCAAGCCCGTCACATCTGTCTAGCTCTCTGTTACCGCGCGCGCCAATCGCCGTGGCTGGCACTTTCGAGCATCGCTTCTTCGTGCAAGCTCTCTAATGATTTCCCGGTGGCCGAGTGACTCGACAGCCCGCGAGTGTCAATGGCATCTTTATCTGTACGAAATGTCACTACGTGCCGAGTCCTATCTCTTTCTGTAGTAGAGAGAAGAGACGGTCAACGGGCTCTTTGGCTGCATTTTCTCGCTCAAGATTTCTCATGCTCCGTCTACCGAACGATTATCGACGATCGCGCCATCGCGAGACTCAAAGTCCAATGTATTTACAGAGCAGAGGCGCGTGGGCCGTTCGTTTATCGCGCAAATTAATTCCAATTTCGGACCACGCGCTCGCCCGCCAAAACAATTCGTTGCTAACGAAATATTGATTTTCCCCTTTGAGCTTCCGAAATTTCGCGCAGCGACGCAACAATGGAGGAACATGGCAACAAAGCGATAGGAATAAAGAGAAAAGAAAAAAATAACAAGGAAGTAAAAAATAGAAAAAAAAAAAAGAAAAAGAATATATAAGCGCGAGCGCGTCAAACTATCGAGTGAAATTCTAATTAGCCTTTGCTCGGTGAAGCAGCGTGTGTTTCGAGTGTATTGCGCCAGTGCGCGCTGCGAGGACAATCCAATTTCATTATTTAACGCACGATGAAACGTTAATTACACGCGTACACACGCGCGCATCGGCTCTCGATTTTCAGCCCGGCCCTTTTGTGCTTTTGTGCGCGGCATTTCGGTCTCGATTTACTTCCTTTTCGCCGGTGCGCGCGCACTCTCTGTCTCTCTCTCTCTCTCTCGAATTTCCAGCGGGTGAGTGCAACGAACGCGTGCAACACCGCCGCGTGGGCCGTTGCACAGAGAAAAAGGATAAAACACGAAACGAGCGTCGATATGTGCGTGAGCGCGTTCTCTCTCTCTCTCTCTCTCTCTCTCTCTCTCTCTCTCTCTCTTTCTCTCTCTCTCTCCGAATGAGTTTCAGCGGAGCTGGCCGATAGTTTTTGCAGCGAATTTTTCCGGCCGCGTAATCTTTTGAAAGTTGATTTTGTTTTTCGCGTGTATTCGCCGACACACCAGACGCAAGTGGCTTTGAATTTTAATTGAAAAATGCTCGACTTTTATTAACGGGACGAGCCGAGCGCCATTGCAGCGGCAGCATTCCGCGTTCAAATGAAAATCTGCATCAACTCAAAATTAATTCAGTTAATTGAGACGCGCGAGCATCGCCCGTATACCCCCCCCCCCCCCAACCTTCTCCGCCCCTATCAACGTAGAATTCGGAATATGCCGCAAAGGCTTAAAAAATCACTTTGAAAAGTTGGTGCCACGCTCGGGCGCACAATTTTCCTACGCACTCTGTGCAGTATCAAATTGTTTATCACGGTGGATATTAATTATTGAATTCGCGGCATGACAAACATCTGGCCGTTACGCACACTAATTCGAAATTTACAAGAAAAAGCGCGGCTTTTTTTCCTTTCTCGTCGCCGGGTGGAAGACCATCGGAATTCTCATTTTGATAATGAAGCTTGAATCGAATGCGCGCCGCGCCGGCGGAATTTTCGTCGTTAAATCATCGCCAGCGCGCGAGAGACGGAGCATCCGTTAATATTCCGAGCGCCGCGCCAATATTATATGCATCATTAATGTAATTGAAAATTATTCAATACTCAATACATTCTATTACGCGCTCGGTCGCGCGATAATTGCCGCGAGGCGAGGGCAACGTAATAAGCACTCGTCTGGCGGGTGAGCCGTGCGTACGACTGCGAAATTGGAGCTCTCGTCAGCCGTGGCGAAGAGAGTTGGGAATCGCGGCGCGCGTGCCAGTTTTTTGCTTGGTCCGTCAAGCCAGCGGTCAAGAGTTGGACACGTCGACGTCGGCGTGGCAAGGAACGTGCGCCGGAAGCGAAATAAGCCCTGCACATCGAAAATTACGCTCGACGACGACGACGACGACGACGACGACGACGACGACGACGACGACGACGACAACGACGGCGGAGAGAGAGGCAACGCAACGTGAATAATGTCGACGTGGCATGCGGCGCTCGAGCTGTAACAACACGGCGACAACAAAAGAGCGCCTAGGCCTCCCCCTCTTGTACGCGAACACATGTGCGTGCGCGGCACCTACGACCCAACGCCTCGGCAGCTGCCTGCTGTATACCTGTACTCCGCGCGATATTACAGCCGACGTCCTGTGTTTGCGTTGCGGAATGCCTATCGTGCTTTTATTAGTTGTGCGTCTCGATCGCCTTTCGATTTGTGGATTACATAAGCGCGCGTCGCCCGTCGCGGGGGAACGACGTGCGCTGGCTCGTCCGTGACATTTGCGGCGCCAAGTATAAGCTCATGTGGGTGGCGTCCCGAGTGAAGAAAAAAAAGAAGGAAAGAAATAAATAAATAAACTGCAAGCTCGCCGCACGAACGTTGATTAATGCTCGAGAGCACAGCATTAAAATTTTCGGGCGCGCCACTCATTTAGTCCCCGGTGTGCGCAGGAGCGCTGCCATGCGCGACGCTCCCGTTAATTCGCTCGTTCGCTTTGACGTCGTTCGCTTCTGTATCGCCGCGAAAAACAGGCAGAAGCGCTCTCGGGCGCAGACCGCGGGGAGGTCGGAGGCGCTTTGATTTATTGACCGCGAGTCGCGGGCAGCGATTGTTGCGCGCGGATTGTCCCTCCCGCGCGCGAGCAATAACTCAGATGTGTTGATTAAAAAGGGCAGAGGCACGCGCGCGCGATGCCGAAAATGCGTACGCTTATTAGCTCTCTCTCTCTCTCTCTCTCTCTCTCTCTCTCTCTCTCTCTCTCTCTCTCTCTCTCCTCCTCTCCTCTCTCTCTCTCTCTCTCTCTCTCTCTCTCTCTCTCTCTCTCTCTCTCTCTCGCCCTCGCCCCAATTTGTCATTCGCGAACTTTGCCGCTCTCTCGGAATTCTCCCACTGTTGCATTGTAATCAACGTTTTGGCTGAAATCTTCAGCGAGAATATGCAGGGACAAAGAGATAACCGCGAGAAATAAAAACTCAAGAGTGAAAAACAATAGTTGCAAGGGGTAAACAAATACGTGCCTGAAGTAAAGATAAGAAAAGTTGATAAATACGAGAAAAGATGCATCGATACAGTTGGGAGTTGTCGAAAGCGGCGCATGAAGGAATCGACGAGACTCACCACTTTAAGCTTCGCCTGGATCTCTCGGAGTTTTCTTCTCGCCAGGACCTGTATGTGTGACGAGACCTGCTTCCGCGTTCTCGTTTTTCCGGTCCTCAGCTTGATATACCGGGCGATGAGCTCGTTACGACCTGCAAATGCAAAACGCACAACTATTCAGTTACGTACCATTATATACGCGGCAATTTCAATTTGGACATTTGGTGCAAGTGAGTCCAAACGAAAATATTCGAAGCGACAAGCAGTTATCCGCTGAAACGTAAATTACGCGATATCTATTTCCAATGCTATTCCCGAGCGAGTTTCCAATCTATTTCAAGCCTTCATATATGCTTACGATCAGTTAATTAACCATTTATACCAGAGCTACAAGACGGTAAAATAAACTCCACCGGTCTGCGTAACATTGACCAGAGGCTGCAAACTTGGACGAAGCTTCCGCGCAAGTTCTGTAAATCTGTGGGCTCTTTTTTCGTTCTTTTCTGATCAATGGCGCGCAACGACTGGCTTACCGTTACATCATCTCAACTTCATTAGTCTCGTAGACTTACAACAACCGAGACGCCGAGCAGAAGCCTCGCAGGCGTTTCGGTTTCAAGACCTCGCCCAAGCACCACCACGGCGTCATTTGCCCGATCCTCGCTTACACGCGCATCTTCCCGTTCGTCGGAACGGGCGAAGGGAGGAAAACAATGCGCGATGAAACTGAAAAATATTCCAAGCGAAAAGTAGCACGACTTGCACTCGCGGGGAAAAAAAGAAAGAAAAACAAAGAAAAGAGCGCTGCCCTATACGCCCGCGAAAACTCATATTCCGCAAGAATTGGCCGAACGCGCGCGCGCGCTCTCTCCTTCACGGCTGGTGGCGTAAATTATTATCGGCCCCTGCACGATTATCCGGAAACTTTGCGCAAAGCGATCTTGCGAAAAAGAGAGCCAACAACGTAAAAAAAAAAAGAAAAAAAAAATCGAGCGCGGCGAGCGCTTCTAAACTAAGTAATTCTTTAGCTCCGCGGAAATTGTTTCGCGCATTATTTTAATGACTCTTCGACTCCGGGCAACTGCGCGGGTCTGATGAGTTTTCTTTTTTCTTTTTTACGGATGGAAGGGTATGGATTTAACCCTTACGCTCTGAAATGCTCGGCAATAAATGCGAGACGATTCTTTGACGCGAGAACTGTCGGGACGCGACCAGTTTAGCAAAGTTTTGCCGGGTCAATCTGCGAAACAGCGGGGTTGCAGTTATTTCGTATTAGCTCGATTGCAATCGACGGTCGAACGGGCAGCAGAGAACGAGTTGGCGCAGTTGAAAGTGCAAAGTTGAAACGGCGCTCGCTGTGCAGATCGAGCGTTGAGAAAAAAAACGGGAAGAGGTAGGCTGCGCGCGCGGGGCTTATTACCGTTGGAAGTGGAAGAAAAGGAGAGCGGCACCGCACGCCGTAATGAAAAAAATACGGAGGGGCAGGTTGGGCGCGAGCGCGTAATTTCCGCGTCCGAAGCGCGAGCGCAGGACGAGTATGTAGCAATCCAAGGTTTTCCAGCGGCGAGGCGCGTCTATCCCTCGCTGAAAATTTAATATTCCCCGGAGCGCGGCGGCGGCGGCGGCGGCGGCGCGTTGCAGCCGGGGAGGGCTTTTCGCGCCGCGCTGGTCTCGGCTTCTTTGTTTCTTTGAAGACTTCTCTTTCTCTCACTCCGTCGGCAGCACTTGTCGGCCTTCATTCGGCGATTCCTTTAATGAATTTCCCGAGGAAAAGGTATCGGAGCCCGCGAGGCATTCAGCGCTCCACGACTTCGATACTTTATTGAACTTCGGTAATCGAAAGCCGATGCTGCCTGCCTGCCTCGCTCCGACGCGCCACGGCAAGAGCGCGTGGACGAGGCCGCTCCAAATTAATTTTTCCCAGCTCGCCAGAGAGAAGCCTCGCGAACTCAGCCAGTGATTGCTCCGCCAACTGCTTCATTACTAACCCAACGCTGCTTTTGCTTTTCGCTTTCCAAATATTCCTCGCTGTTGAATTGTTCGCCGACAGATCGACTGACGATGCTGACTCAGCTGCGGACGCAGTCGAACGACTGCGTACAGTGGCAATCGGGTACTTGACTCACAGGTGTCAATGAGCCAATCGTATCTAATCGCCAGACTTTCACTTGCTTCATGCATGGACGAGAGTGTATCGACTAACAAAATGCTCATGAATAGATATGTAATGTTGATGAAAATCGTACGCCGCTATACAAATCGACATCTGTTTTTCATTAGCCGTGCGCAATTTAATTTCATCTGGGACAACTGACTTCCGTGAATAATGTTTGAGAATCCGGTTGTCTTTGAGGAAAAATCGACGCGAGCCTAACTGTCGCTGTTTTCTCGCTTGATAATGAAATGGTAACAGCCAACGGCACTTTAATCTATCGAAAGCTGGATGAGTGCTGGTAATCGTAATAATACCAAAGCAACTCCTCGAATCTTCTTTTCATCGACGGCAGGCGAAAGATAGTTCTGCCTGTCGATAAAAGCGACCCTTGGGCAAATGAAATCAGAGAGAGAGAGAGAGAGGGGGGGGGGGGGGGGGACGGAGAAACAGAGAGAGAGCGGAAGGGCGAAAGCGCGCGAATCTTGGCGACGTCGCGTGGCGCGAGGAAAAATAAGTAGCGGCTGCCTGGCTCGGCTGTCCTTCATCAGCGGCACAGCATTTGCATTCAACTGGCGAACGGCACGTCTCTCTGCCTGACTGCCGGAGGAAAATATCCGGGATTCCGGGCGAACCGCCGCACTCGCGCGATGACTCAATTTCGCGAAGACCGTTAAATGGCCCCCCACCTCCCCCTCCTCACCGTCGTAGTCGTCTTCTATGAATTCGCTGGCTCTCCTTCTGTTTTTGAAGGCCCGGCATTCTTTGAGGGCTATGCGAGCTTTCTCTCTCTCTCTCTCTCTGTCTCTCTCTTTAAATATTCGCCGAGAGTTCAACCACTCTACGCATATATACGAATCGCACTCGATTTGATACGGAGCTGGATGCTGCCGGGACCGCAGCAACGCTGTGATCCGCCATCAGCACTCTTCTAACATCCAATTACGAAGACAAGATGGGAGCCGAGCAAGAAAAAAAAATAAGCAGCGCCGTCGTTGACTAACGAATCAATATAAGCGCTGTCGTCGGCGGCGGAGCGTCTGACTGTCCTTTGATCAGGGATCAATCGAGCGCGGGACTCGGAGCCTGAGCACGGCTCTCGCGTTGACGGCATTATCCACAGCTCATATCGCATCGGGAAAGCAAGAGAGAGAGAGAGAGAGAGAGCGAGAGAGAGAGAGAGAGAGAGAGAGAGAGAGAGAGAGAGAGAGAGCAATCGACGTGAAAATCGGTCCAGCCGACGCTCAATTTAACGAGAAGGGCCATTACTGCCAACTCAAGTGCTTTCTCTCTCTCTCTCTCTCTCTCTCTCGTCCTCGAGTGCCACCGAGAGAGATAGCCGAGCAGGCGTGTGTGAGCCGCAATGCGCTGTTTATAGGGGCCTCGTTTATCTATCGTCTATCTCTCGCTCTCTTACTTTCCATTATCCGCCGACTCTCGCTCTCTTTAATATATTGAATTGGGCGCGTTTAAAATGTCCTTTGAACGATCTTGCTTGCACGTGCACTCGCCGCCAGTCGCTCGTCGGCCCGCTGCCGGCTCCGTTGTTTTCTTTAATTGAAACGCTGCCGGGCTGCCCCGTCGGCTTTAACTCGGCCGAGCAGGCGTCGAGCGAGCCGCGCGTTAACAATCGCGCGTCTACGTATATCCGAAGAGCAAACGCGCGGACGAGCGCAGCTACGAAAAGTCGGCTTTCCAAATTCTTTTGTGCTCGTCGCGTCCCTCGTAGCGGCCGCGGGCCCGCAACGGCGCGCAATCCTCATCTACATCCGAGCCATCTGCGCGCCGACTTTGCAATTGTGATGACTTGCCGCGATACGCCATTTCACGTTGCATTAGCCGCGCGCACAAAGGGCAACTTGTGTACTTACGCTCCGCGCCTTGCCCCGAAGGGGCCAGACGATCCCATTCATCGATCTCGCGCTAGTCGATGCAAGCCTTTCGTCGCTCGACGGATTAGCCTCGAGTTTGTCAACGCTTCTCGTTCGGCTGGCCTCGCAGCGGCGGCAGCGGCGAAGAAAGTGCGACAGCCGCGCGTCCTACCGAGGCTTATACGCTGGATCGCTTTCGACGGCCCGCCGAGAGGACATTGTTTCGTGCCCGGGCTCGTGCTGATCGATGTCTTGAGTGAGTCAGAAGTGCGTTCGAGCTGGTTTGCCGATGATTAACGAGCCCCCGGATCTCTACTCGGGCGAGTCGCTCTCTCGCGGCTGATTGGTATGATTCCAATGGGCATTACACCGCGCTTGTTTAGCGCTGCCCGCCCGCCGTCGTCTCGCTAAACTAATAAGCGCCGACGTGTCGCTACGGCGAACGGACAGTCGCGAGAAATTGGAAAACGGCAAACACGACGAATCCTCGCCGTCGCCCTATAATGAAGTGTCCCTCGGTGAGCGCGTGGCGCACGAGAGGAGCTGAGGAGAGGGGTGAAGGCGATGGAAAAAAGAATTCCGAGGAATAAATATCGATAACGCTCTGATGTGCGTGCGCTGTCGGGTCGAGCGGCGACAACAGTGTCTTTGTCCGTTTTTCGAAAAACTCGCCTGTATACGTACGTATATACATAGGCGTCCCTTCATCCATCTTCCTTTCTTTCCATTTTCTTCGCGGCAAACTCGCTCGCTCGCGTGTGTGCGCAAGCAAGCGATCGCAACCCCCGTTGTGTCGCGTCCGAGAGAGAAGCCAGCAGCTGTCTCTCTCTCTCTAGCTCGGCGTTCGCGCGCTCTCTCTCTCCCTCTCTCTCTCTCTCTCTCGGCTCTGTTCACTAATTGCACATTCTTCGCATAGTTTCGCCGCCCGAAGGGGGAGAGCTAGCAAGCAAGCAAGCAAGCAAGCGAGAGAGCGACCGAGAGAGAGAGAGAGAGAGACAGAAAGGACGGCTACGCCCGAGCTCATCCCCCTTGCCACCACCTCACCCTCTCGACCCCCTTCGCCGCTCGTCTGCCTGCCTGCCTGCCTGCCTGCCTGCCTGCCTGCCTGTCCCGCGTGTCTCGCTCGCTC